TAATACATATCGATTTTACAGAAGACAATGTTGAAAAAGTACTACGCAATCTAAAACCATCTCTATCTATTGGACAGGACGGAATATGTGCCTACTTCTTTAAAAAGCTATCCACTGCCATAGCCGAACCTCTAAGTATAATCTTTGAAAAATCTTTCAGGACCAGCTGCTTGCCAAAACTATGGTCGCAAGCCACGGTCATCCCTATCTTCAAAAAGGGAGACCCCAGCCTAGTTGAAAATTACAAACCAATCTCTTTATGCTGCATCACCTGTAAAGTCATGGAATCAATTATTAACCAATCCATCATCCTCCACTTAGAAACAAACAACCTACTCTTTAATAAACAATTTGGATTCAGGAAAAAACTATCATGTAATCTGCAACTCTTACACTGCAAAAATATATGGACTACACAACTCAATCAGGGCAAAGCAATAGACACAATCTACATAGACTTCTGTAAAGCCTTTGATTCAGTGGTACACGACAAACTACTCCTAAAACTAAAATCTTACGGTATCTCTGGACACCTGCATAACTAGATAGAAGCACGGCTGTCAAACAGACAACAAATGGTCAAAATTGGGAGCGTCCTATCAAATTCTGTACCTGTCAACAGTGGTGTCCCCCAAGGCAGTGTTCTAGGACCAACTCTTTTCATACTCTACATAAATGACCTCTGTGATCATATTAAGAGCAACTGCATTCTCTTCGCTGATGATGTAAAGCTATTCAACACCACATACAATACTGCTACTCTTCAAAAAGACCTTGACTATGTATCAGAATGGTCAAACAAATGGCAACTTCAAATCTCAACAAATAAATGCTCTGTCCTACATATTGGCAAAAAAAATCAGAAAATAAAATACAGGCTGAATAGTCAAGACCTTGTTGATGATCCCAACTCTGTCAAGGATCTTGGAGTACTCATCTCTAATGACCTAAGTGCTAGATCCCACTGTAACTACATAGCCAAAAAGGCGTTAAGAGTTGTTAACCTTATCTTACGTAGCTTTTTCTCTGGTAATATTACACTACTAACTAGAGCATACAAAACATTTGCTAGACCAATACTCGAATACAGCTCATCAGTCTGGAACCCGCATTACGTATCTGATATTAACACAGTTGAGAAAGTCCAGAAATATTTCACAAGAAGAGTTCTCCACTCCTCTATACGTTGCAGAATACCTTATGCAACCAGACTCGAAATTCTAGACCTAGAAAACCTAGAACTATGCTGCCTTCGGTCCGATCTAAGTATAGTATATAAAAATCATACATTGCAATGTCCTACCTGTCAATGAATACTTCAGCTTCAACTATAACAACACAAGAGTAAACAATAGATACAAACTCAAGATTAATCACACCAAACTTGATTGCAGGAAATACAACTTCAGCAACAGAGTGGTCAATGTCTGGAATACTCTACCTGACTCTGTGGTTTCTTCCCCAAAACCCAAAAACTTTGACCTCACCCCTTTCCTAAGAGGTCTGTAGGGGGCATGCATAAGCGCACCAACGTGCGTACCGTTCCTGTCCTATTGTTTCTTTTATTTTTTTTATTTTTCTTATATGTATCCATGTATTCATAACTATGTTTTTATTTATACCTATTATCTTGTAAGCAATTGACAAAAATAAATAAATAAATAAAAATAAATAAATAAAAAATAAAAGTCAACCCACTATTCCCTGCAGCTGGCAAGAGACGCTGTACATCTAGAGCAGAGGTCTCCAAACTTGGCAACATTAAGACTAGTGGACTTCAACTCCCAGAATTCTCCAGCAATTCTCCAGCATAGCTGGCTGGACAATTCAGGGAGTTGAAATCCACAAGTCTTAACATTGGCAAGTTTGGGGACCCCTGATCTAGAGGCAGCCTAGCAAATGTGCTGCTTTCAAGTCAAGGGGTAGAACCAGCGAAGTTATATTTTGTTATCTGAATCTGATATAAAAACAAAGTGTCCCGTCCCATACAGCAAATATATTGAATGACTAACACTGTCTTTGAAAAGTTGTTATGTGTGCCGGATTCCTATATTTCTATACTTATCTTCTACTCACTAGGATTCTATGGGTTCCTCTGAAACCACTATATGTCCCTTGGTATTTCAACCACCAACAGAAAGATACACCAGAGCCAAGTTCACATTTTTGCTTATTCTACATTATAATGGGAGTTACAATGGAGTTAGGATTGGAGGGGAGGAATACCCAAGTTGGTGTACATCGGAAGCTTATAGGTGGGCCTCCATTTTTTGACCATAATGGAGCATGCCCATTACACTCATAAGTCACGATGGTCATAAAGCAGGTCGTGTTTGTGATCCAATGTTATGACCATTTTTTGCAGTGGTCATTAAGTGAATCCCTTGTTCTTTGTGGGAAGTTGCCAAAACTTGGAAGTAAATGCTGGGTTTTGGCAAAAATGACATAAACCATGGTCACTGCAAATAGCCATAAATAGCTGACAACTATATGTATTTACTTCCCTTCCGTGATCGGTCTGCTTACAGAAGACCAGGGCAGTAAAAGAGCATCAAACAATAAAGATGGGAACAAGGAATATTTATATGGCTTCAGCAGCCAAGAATGCTCTCATTAAAATACATACATACATACATACATACATACATACATACATACATACATACATACATACATACATACATATATATATATACACACACTGCTCAAAAAAATAAAGGGAACACAAAAGTAAGACATCCTAGATCTGAATGAATGAAATATTCTCATTAAATGCTTTGTTCATTACATAGTTGAATGTGCTGACAACAAAATCACACAAAAATTATCAATAGAAATCAAATTTATCATGGAGGTCTGGATTTGGACTTACACTCAAAATTAAAGTGGAAAAAAACACTACAGGCTGATCCAACTTTGATGTAATGTCCTTAAAATAAGTCAAAATGAGGCTCAGTAGTGTGTGTGGCCTCCACGTGCCTGTATGACCTCCCTACAATGCCTGGGTATGCTCCTGATGAGGTGGTGGATGGTCTCCTGAGGGATCTCCTCCCACACCTGGACTAAAGCATCCCCCAACTCCTGGACAGTCTGTGGTGCAACGTGGCGTTGGTGGATGGAGCAAGACATGATGTCCCAGATGTGCTCAATTGGATTCAAGTCTGGGGAACGGGCGGGCCAGTCCATAGCATCAATGCCTTCGTCTTGCAGGAACTGCTGACACACTCCATAGAGAACACCAAGGATCCTTCATTTCAACCTTGACACACATATTCAACCTTGATATATATATATATATATATATCAGTTGTTCCAAACCCATGAGTTAGGATTATAGTTCCCAACATTCCCAGCCAACAATTGACCACTGGGACTATATAAAACCATCGGGATAAAATCTGGCATAAGGAGAAGGCACAGAAGAAAAATATGAAAACACATCAATAAGCAACAGAATATTCAATTCAGTAGCATATATTAGGTTTGGAAACCAAAGGATATATGGGGGAAGGGCAACGATCCCAGTAGGAAAGTCTGTACATTCACCTTGCTTCTTCTAAGACAGATTCAAAGTTGACAACTCAAAGCTGTATAGATTTCAACTCCCAGAATTCCACAGCTGGCTAGCTGTAAAATTCTGGGAATTGGAAGTCCACATACCTTCAAATTGCCAATATTGAGAAACACTGCTCTAATCAGAACAGAAACTTGCCTCCATAATGCCATTTCATAAGGCCAAATGTTAACTTTGTCTCCTCTATGCCAACAGCTGAGGCTGCTTAAAACCATCTTTAGCTATTCCAATTTTAAAGTAGTGTTTTTTACCTTCTCCCGCTAGTTGTGTAGCTTACTGAAGGTGAATTTAAACCATAGAATAGCTGAACTTTGCCAGCTGCGGATGGTGGTTCTGCCACCAAAGCTTCAGATGACAAATTGTTTTTCATGGGGGATTTTTTTTCTTTCCTTTTCGGGGTAGCAGCACATTTTATCTACTCCTATCTCACTTTGCCTATTCCTTAGGTGGCTTATGGATGCTGCCAATTATATAGCATCTCTTGCTAGCACTACCATGGCCTTGGGCTGCCAGGATAAGGACTTTTCTGCCAGGATAAGGACTAATAGGTAACATTATAGCAGGACTGATTAGCTGTACGCTGTGTTGCCTATTGGGAAGGATATTTTGGTTTTATGGGGGAGGTGTATATTTTTTTTCTTAACTAAGCCTACTTCAAACTGTACAATACAACTCTCACGTGGCTCTCTCTGCTCAGATTGCTTGAATTTCAGCATCTGTGACTACAAGAGTTTTGGGTACATGAATAAATGGTTATCCTTTTCCCCACCTTCAGTCCACAAATGCCTCTGGATACCCCTCCCATCATCTCCGAACATCACCCATGTGGTTAAGGATTGGAAAAGTTAGGGGTCCTTAGTGCTCTCTGAGCTTGCTTTCTTGCATGTTTCATTACCCAAACTAGGTATCATCATCCTCATCTGGTGTTCGTTTGGGCAACAAAATGTCTGCAAGAAAACAACCAAGCTCAGAGAGCACCAAGGATCCTTCATTTCAACCTTGACATACCAATATCCTTTATTGTTTAGAAAAGTTGTCTAGAATATCGGGTCGCAACAGACACCTCAATCTAGGTTTTTTTCCTGCCCCCCTGCTAATAATTTGCTAATTGCTAATAATTGCCAATAACCATTTGCTCCGCAGCTGCAATCCTGTTCCCCGCTACCTGGGGCTAACTTCCAGTTAACTACGGAGAAGCAAGCTATTCTCCTTCATGGACTAAGAGCTCTTGGTAGCGCCTCTTATTCGGGTTCCGGCTGTCCCAAAAGAGAGCGAGGGGCCGGCGCTGAGCAAGCGAGATGGGCCAGGCCGGGAGAAAGAGCGGGGCGGGGAGGGGGGAACGGCTCCTATCGCCGAGGAAAGAGTTAACGGCGCTCGAAACCTAACACCCTGCGGAGCCCAAAGAGGGGAGAAAAGGGAAGGGAGCGTGAAGGGATAGAGTCTCTTCGGCGGGATCGGTGGTTGGAGGCGCCTGTGTGCCAGCAAGAAGCTGTGAAAGAAACCCCAGGCAGGCTTCGCGAGCAGGAGGGACTGAGCAGCGAGCGGAGGAGCAGAAAACGGCTTGCTCCAAGGACCTGCGGCGACGTGCATCTCCACTGGGGTGAGCCTCCCGGGTTGTTGCATTGAGGGAGTTAGGGGACCCGCGGGCGCCCGACCTCACTGCAGATTGCAACCCTCTTCCGCTTCATCTTCCTCCCTCCCGAGTTTGCATACTCCCCAGTAATCAAATGCCAGCAATCAAACGCCACCCGGCTTCGGCGTCCCTCCTGCCCTCCCCAGTCTTGGTGTTTGCAACTCCGCCAAATACCCCCTCCTCTCCTTTCGGCAAACCCGCGCAGCTCGGCTTTCCGGAGCGCTCGCCTACTTTTCCCAGAGTGAAAACGGAAAGCAACGCTTCAGTGTCTCGGAAGGTCGCCTTCTTAAAAGGGACGGTTTAGGTTAATAATACCGGTTGTTATTTTCAGCATCCCTACACAAGCACGAATAACAACGCCGCGATGTATACTAAAGCAGATTGATCCACTGGCGTTTGATTTGGGTTACTGTTGTAGATGTCGTACGTGGGGTTCTCCTCAGTCACATCTTCGGGATGCAGAGGGTGTGTGGAGGGTGTGTGTGTGGAAAGGCTTGGATAGCTGCCCAGAATGAAAGCATAAAGTTTGAGAGTTCCAAAAGTGCCGCGTTTCTCAACTTCAGTGAGGTTGAGAGGAGTGAACTTCAAACTGCCAAAATTCCCCTGGAGGGGGGATTCTGGGAATTGGAGTCCTCCTATCTTAAAGCCTGCTGGCTGGGGAATTCCAGGAATTGGAATTCGTGCATCTTAAAGCATGCTAGGGAAATTTGGATGTTGGTCTACACATTTTTTTTAAAGTTGCTGAGGTTCAGAAATACTGCAGTAGACTATAAAGAGGCATAACCGTGGGAATGATATCTATCGGGAAGGGCAACTATGGCCAATAGATAAAGATACACAAAAATAACAGTAAAGTCTTGTGAAGATTAGTAGGCCAGGAGTTCCTGCAGAATATAGCAGGCATCCTAATTGTGAGTAGTGGAATAGTGACCAAAGTTAGATTCCAACCGCCAAAGCAGTGAGGAAAGTGTGCCCATGCCTTATCTCTACTTTTGCAGCAACATACTCCCTAGGCATCATTCAAAACCATCTCCCCTATGCAGATTGCAATGCATAGGGGAGGTAGGAGGCAGAAGTGGTATTCAGCAGGTTCTGACCAGTTCTGGAGATCGGGTAGCAGACATTTTGAGTAGTTCGGAGAACAGGCAAATACCACCCTTGACTGGATATTTTACAGTGTCCTTCCCCTGCCACACCCACCAAACCACGCCCACAGAACTGGTAGTAAAAAAAAAAATTGAATCCCACCACTTGTAGGAAGTATTAGCCGTTGCAAAAGGGAAAATCAAATACTTTGATATCAAAATGCCTCAGCCCAACACCAGCAGTGGGCCGTACAAGATTAAGAACCCAGTATGGAGAAATATCAATAGCATTTACACTTACATACAGCTTCATAGTGGTTTACAGCCCTCCCTAAGCGGTTTACAGAGTCAGCAGATTACAGACCCCCGACAATCTGTGTCCTCATTTTACTGACCTCAGAAGGAGGGAAGGCTGAGTCAATCTTGAGCTAGTGAGGATTGAACTCCTGGCAGTGGGCAGAGTCAACCTGCAATACTGCATTCTAACTACTGCACCACCATGGCTTCTAAATGCTCCCAAACAGTAAGTGACTCAGCCAAATGCCACAAGATAGTCACATGGATAAGCCCTACTTGAAAAATTATAATAAACTGCACCCTTTAGTAGGTAAGCAAATGACCACATGGATAACCTGAGGAGAAATCACTCCAAATAAGTTTTTGCTCTACTTTTAACATTTATAACTTAAATTTATCATAATGTCAATTTAAAGAATGACATTGATTTAAAGAGAGGGAATGTTGTTGTTTAAGGACATTGGGACAACTATTTTCCCATCATCTCTTCACCAGTAATCAATATTTTAGTAACTTCCTATTCAGCTGTTTCATTCTGGGAGTTCCTTCCAAGGACAATTACTTTCACAAAAGCACTGAAAAATATGTAGCAGGGCTTAAGTCATCAAAGTGAAGAGATTGAAATCTTGGCTTTAATTAAAGTGCAGATTAAAGTGAGGGTAAAGGACAGTGAAACTAGTTAATTATTTAAGGACAGCCTTAATTAAAAACTGTTCATGGGAACTAGGGGGCAGCAGCACCAAGGTGATCTTGGCTGATCTTAGAAAGGTAAGTAGACAAGGTCTGATCAGTACTTGGAAAAAGAGACGAACTCTAGGTTGTAGACTATCCTGGGCAAACCAAAAGGAATTAAAAAAAACAATCCAATCCAAACCTTGAAGAAGGTTGTTGCAATCTGCTTTCGTACTATCAAAAAAACTATACTGAAATGACCATGTGTGTTACTAGGAATTGAGCTCAATTCAGGGATTGCTTACTTTGAAAAACTAAAAGCTAAAAATGATGATGACTGCTCATTTTGTGGATTTCTGTAGCTAAACTATTTACAGACAGTCAGTTGTAAGTCAAAACAATATATTATTTTCTTCTGTTCAATTGCATCCAATTTTTGGAGACTGCCTCAACAAGTTAGATGTGGCAAGGGAAATCAGGAGGCTTTGAAGAAATAATAGAAAGGGATTTTTATAGTACTGGATCTTTGGTGTAAATGCTAGAGATATTTTTACCAATGTAGTTTTTTTTTAATCTTATATTTCTATTTCCATTCAGAGATACTCTACATGGAAGAAGATACACCCATCCTATCGGGCTCAGTTTTACAGTCAGTTGCACTTGCTATAAGAAATAATTTGTTTATAGATCACCTTGTGATCTGTATTGTACAACTGAGAAATGAACATTTTCCCTTCCATCACAGCATCAATTAATAATTTGTACAGAATGGAGGGAGAAAATATCTGTATGAAAGGAATTTATTTGCTCTTGGTTTCCCCCCAAACTAAGTTCCAGGATCAATACATTTATTAAAGTACAGGTAGTCCTTGACTTATGACCACCGTTGGGAGCAGAATTTTGATCCCTAAGTAATGAGGTTGTTAAGCAAATTATTGCACGACTGGATCCAATTCTGCTATCATTTTAACTGCGGTCATTAAGCAAATCACATGGCTGTTAAGTGAATCATATGATTGTTAAGTAAATCTGGCTTCCCACTGGTTAGAAGCCAGCAAGGAATATCACAAATTGCAATGATGTGACCATTTAAAATATAGCAATAATTTTAAATGTGAATTGGTTGCAAATCACCCAGATTGTAATCATGTAACTAAGGGGATGGTGCAATGGTCATAATTTTGAGGACAGGTCATAAGTCACTTTTTCTGAGACCAATGTACTTTAAACTATCATTAAATGAGTGGCTGTAAGTTGATTACCTATACTTCATTTTGAACTCATAGATCAAGGGTCTTCAAACTTGGCAGGTTTAAGACTTGTGGACTTCAACTTCCAGAAATCCTAAGCTAACAATGACTGGAGGAGGAATTCTGGGAGTTGTAGTCCACAAGTCTTAAACCTGTCAAGTTTGAAGACTCCTGTCATAGATGCTTTGAGTGTTGTCCTAAGGGAGCATTATTAGTGGTTGGACGATAAGAACAATAAAAAGGAAGATCAGAGGGAAATCTCAAAAGGTGCTTTTTCAAAAGGCTGGATATTGTTTTTTCAAACAACTGGATATTGTTTTTTGCTTGAGGAAGACATTTTGCTTCTCATCTAAGAAGCTTCTTCAGTTCTGAATAGAGTCAAAACTGAAGAAGCTTCTTGGATGAGAAGCAAAATGTCTTCCTCAAGGAAAAAAAACGAAGTCCAGTTGCCTTCTGAAAAAGCACATTTGAGACAATCATGACTGTGATATGACTCAGAATCTCCACAGGTAATTAAAGGGAAGTGAAATATAAAGAGTTCAATCAGGACGTTACTTATAGAGATACTAGCCATTCATAGAATAGTTGTTTGGTGTGGCACAAAACATTTTCCCACTGATTGGCATAGTGCAGTGGGATAATGACTTTCTCATGTGTTAAACAAAGATAAATATCAGAACTAATGGCTTTTAAGTCAGCTTTTTAGGGATGAAGTTGGTCACTGTAAAACTTCAATGCAGTGATGGGATTCAAAAACTTTTACTACCAATTCTGTGGGCGTGGCTTGGTGGGTGTGATATGGCTTGGTGGGCGTGGCTTGGTGGGCATGGCAGGGGAAGGATACTGTAAAATCTTCATTCCCTCCCGACTCCAGGGAAAGGTTACTGCAAAATCCCCATTCCCTCTCCACCCCACTAACCTGCTTTCCAGCTCCATTGTCCTGTGCAGGGCAACAAAAGAAGACCCAGCCGATCAGCTGGGACCAGGGAGGCAGAGAATAGATGGGGGTGGGGCCAGTCAGAGGTGGTATTTGCCGGTTCTCCGAACTACTCAAAATTTCCACTACCGGTTCTCCAGAACTAGTCAGAACCTGCTGAATACCACCTCTGCTTCAATGGCAAGGGGATTCTCTGCCTGCTTGCTTGCTTTCCTTATCATTTCTGAACAGTTCTCATAGAAAAAGCGGCTCCATTCTGGTGTCCTGTCCTTTGCACTGATTATTATTATTATTTATTTATTTATTTTGCAGTTCACAATGAAAGCCTTCCAAATCAGCATGCCCCTGGCTTTTCTTGTGCTCCCATTCATTGTGCTTGGGGCTCCCAGTGAGGAGCTTGGCCAGCAAGAAGTCCCTACCAGCTTGAGTGGTTGCAAGAGATGTTGTGATTCTCTAGATGTCCCTGGGACCTCTGAAGTTGGAGACAGACCTCAAGCTTTGCCATTCGTAATGCCAGAAGTTCGTCCATATATCAACATCACAATTCTGAAAGGTAAGCAATTATCATCTGTTACTTTCTGACTCATGCTACCTTCTCATTGTTTTCCTCCTCATTTCACCTCTTAAATCAAATTGGAAACTTCCCTGGCAGAGTCTTGTGATTTGTTTATTTGCCTTAGTCAGTCATCATGTATACATGTGCATCCTGTTTCCCAAGCCAATAATTGTCAACCACCCGTGGAAATGTTTATTTAGTGAAAGAATAATTGCCCACATTAAACCTTTAGTTGTATATCCCTCAGCTGTACTGGCCAAACATGTTGGGAAATAAGTCCAAAACCTCTGGAATGACAAGTTGGAAAATTCTGCTATAAACTCTCATTTGGTTAAAAAGTCTACAGTTAACATAGGTAGGACCAAAACATGCCATTTCTTCAGGCAAAATTAAAGCACAATTAATAAAGATAAAACAGAGGCCTGCTAGAGAAAGTGTAGCCTGTATGTTTTACTTAGATACAGGTTGAACTTCTCCATCTGGGTCATTCAAGCATCTCCTCAGGGCAAGATCTGTTACCACATGTTCTATCATATCCTGCATCACACACACACACACACACACACATACCCCTCTATGTTCCACCTCCCTTTCTGGAATTTTATAGTATCCTTTAATTATGGTTGCTAGAGATGCTACATATGCATGAAAATACATTGTATGGAAGGATTTTGGAACCACCCACAAGCTTCTCCCTTTTTTCCCCTCTCCTTTCCACAGGAGAAAAAGGAGATCAAGGAGAGTCTGGAGTTCCTGGGAAATGGGGCAAAGAGGGACCCCCTGGTGATCGGGGACCCCAGGGTCCAAAGGGCAGCAAGGGACAAATGGGGGCACCTGGAGATCCCTGCAAGCACCAGTATGCAGCTTTCTCAGTGGGCAGGAAGAAGGCTCTTCACAGTAATGAAGGCTACCAGGCTTTGATCTTTGACACTGTCTTTGTGAACCTCTATAGCCACTTTGACATGTTTAAGGGTAAGTTCTACTGCTACGTGGCAGGCCTGTATTTTTTCAGTCTCAATGTCCACACCTGGAATTTCAAGGAGACCTACATGCACGTCATGCGGAATGACCAAGAGGAAGTCATTCTCTATGCTCAGCCCAGTGACCGCAGCATCATGCAAAGCCAGAGTTTGATGCTGGAGCTGCGGGAGAACGACGAGGTTTGGGTGCGCCTCTACAAGCGACAGCGTGACAATGCCATCTACAGTGACGATGTGGATGTCTACATCACTTTCAGTGGTTATTTGATCAAGCCCAGTCTTGAATAGTTGTTTCCATCCAAAGCACAAATTCAACCTCTAAACATCCTCTTGATTTCCTGTGAACGTCTGCAAATAGTACAGAATATGACCAACAGATCTGAAAACAGAGAGAGAGCACTGAAGAAAACTTTTTTTTTCTTTTGAAAATGCCAACTGAAAAAATATATATTCATGGGTCAAAAAACATTCCAGAAAAGTCTTGCTGGTTTATGTGTCCTTCTCAACACTAGATCTGATTGTAAGGTATGGACTGGAAATCCTAAGCAGCCTCATAAAAATTCTGTTAACTCAGAATCATTTCGTAAACATCTTTGTTTGGACATAACACTTCCTAAGCAGAATGTTCTAATTAGATTGTTTACATGAAGTAAACTCTTTGAGGTATCTCAAGTGAGATAAGCTACCATATCTTATCTACAAATCTACAAACCAAATGTAGATCAACCAAAATATGTTATTTTGGCATTTCAAGTGCCTGACAGCCCTCTTCTTTTTGCTAAGAATTCCTGGTGGGAAGCCTTGTATGACTGATAGTTGCCATCACCTTCACAAAATTTACATTTGTAAATGTTCTATAGGGTTAGTAAATGTAATTCTGCATCTGTGTAATGGACATGTGCATTTGTGCATCGGTGTAATGGACATGTAATACACTGTATAACACTGCAGGGATCTTTTCCATCACTATGTTAAACATATGCAGGATTAGGATTTAACCCAGGGTGGCAAAAGAGTAGAAATAATGCTTCCAACCTATCCCCCAAATCAGAAGATTCCTAAAGAGGTTCCATGCTGGTGCCTAAATTTATATTGTAATTGATTGAAGCGCAACAAATCTATAAATGTATGACAACAGGATCCATTTTTCTTCAGCTAACCTAGATTGATATTACAGATTTTCCCATAGGCAGGTCACACAAAGGCCATGATGTGGGCAAAATAATCAGTGGGGTTTCATTTAGTATTGTTGTGATCTGACCTATGGTCCGTGATAGAATTAGTGATTCTAATCATTGGTGGTCAAAGAGGTGAATTCTTTGAAGGATGTCTACATAGCACCTGGCAGTAACTTCTGAAAGCTAAGAGATCTGTTTCAGAGATCATGCTGCAACTGTGCAATACTAGGAAAAGATATAGCTGTTTTAAGATATTTCCAACATGTGTTATATGATGCTCCAAGGAATCTTTACCCTTCAAACCTAAGACGCTATGCAGCCACTACTGGTTAGCTGGGTAAACAATTAATTGTAAGGGCAAAGGATCCCAAGGAATTATAAGCAAAAGAAAGATACAAGTTGCTTGCATATCAGCTTCTCTCACTGAGGGCAGCAAGTGCCATTTCTACATATGAAGAATTCTCTTGTTAAAGCTACAAAAGAAATAGGCTACTTCAAGGATGGAAAAAAACATGAAGGAAAGAAAGTTTCTTGAAGGAACTTTTACATTTTGATTCCACATGTGAGCCTTGCCATAAAATATGGCAAAGTGCACACTCATTCAAGATGCAGCATACCTCTTCCAGGAAAGATCATTTTATTTTCCCTCTTTCTTAGTTTTCCATTCCCCTGCTCTCCCAAGAGTCACTGTCAAATAAGTACAAAATATACTGTTTGGAGAATGGAACATTTGGAAGAACCATCCATGCAGTAATTCAGAGGGTGGCCTGAAACTTAGCCTTCCAACTAGAAGTGTCCATCCAGATTTTTTTCTCTCCATCACAGCAGGATAAATCACAGTTTTTCAAGAGGATATAAAGGCACATTTCTTTTCCTAACAATCCCAATTTCCACTCTGCAATTAAGTATAAGTTAGATGAACACCCCCCACCCCTCTTTTATTTCCCAAAGCACTGCTTATCTGTTAAATGGGAATTATAATGCTGACCTACTTTGGAGAGTTGTGGTCAGGATATTATCAATCATCTTCTATCAATGTGGTACCTTGCAGATAAGGCAGGATTACAACCTCCAATGTATCTGTTGCAGTCCAACATACCTGGAGATGCCAGTTTGGGGAATATTGCTTTAAGTAAAGCACTGAGCATTTCCTAAATGTGACTTAGATGCTAAAGAATTTCTATTACAATGCACTGTATGTTAACAATATTTTTTTGTGTATAGATGGGGAACATACACAGACCCTGTTATATACATTTGCTGCCTATTCCACTCACAGGTAACCAAGTAATTGCAAACCAAGAGGCTTCTCAGTTTATTTTTTAAAGGAAATGGACAGGACATGCATTTTTATTTTGACCCAGTGGGTAACCTTGTAAGGCAGGCTATGGGAAGTATCAAGAAGCCTGTTTTTGTAATACAGGGAAAGCTGTAGCTGATTGCATAACAATCTGAATTCCTTCTCTCTGCAAAGTAGTACTTTAAAAACCAGCTGTTGGCTATATGCAACACATGGCGTCCCTGTGTCTCCAGAGGGAACAACCAGAATTTCTAGAACTGAATTGCTTCCAGATGTGAGAACTGAACTCTTTGAGCCTTTGCCTCCATTCCTGTCTCAGCAGAAGTGCTTCTATTGGGAAGCAGTGTCTAATGTTACAAGGACAAAGTTTGTGTATAGTTGATATGAGGCTATAGGCCTACTTTTTGGTGCTATATAAAACCTTTATAATTCTTGGTGCTAAAGAGGCCTTTTTGATGCAAAATTTGAAAAATATTTTTAATTTGCTGGGAGATACATTGGGGATAACATAAACAAGAAGGCCTATGGAATTTATGGTGCTTTGTGGAAATAAACAATGGTTTGTGTGTATATATGTATGTATCTTTTAAAAATTAAAACTTCTTGATTGCACTTTGAGTTGTCCTTTTCTTCGTGGGGCTTTTTTTTCCTACGACAAAGATTTTCTATTACAAGATTTTAGCATCCTTGGGAAGAGTACAAATATCACTTTTGGTGGAAATATTTCTAAAATATAGGAAAACCAGCATGCAGAATGATGGGAGAAAGCCATTTTACACACACTGTGAAAGGAGTGTTTAAGGCATGAGGAAAATGAGAATAATAAACAATTTACATTTGTTGTCAAACACCCCAGGGAACCTCTTTTAATGCATTGGCCTACCTTGCAGGAACTGAAAAGATTGAAAAGAAGACAGTATAATTTGATTACTAGTTACTAGGAGTTATCTAGTTGGAAGCATCCTCAAATGTGGCTAGCTTTGCCTAAGGCTCAGATTGATCATGTGTAAAAAAACTCATAAGTAGAGTGCCAAGTGTGTACAAAAGGGGTGAAAAGAGATACAAAGGGAGAAATGAATCCCTGAATTCTTCCACAACTACACACAGATGTAGTAAATTTGTGATGAATTGGAATTTTGATTAGGAAAACTATTGGGAAAAAATCTAGTTTATGATTTTGTGTAGATTTGTTTTCCTTGTATCACACAGTCTTTGTAGTAAAATGATAGCAGTGTTAAAAAACAAGATCTGCTCAGTTTTGGGGCACTTGTGCTCAAATTCAGCTACTGACCATTTGTGGGAAAATCCTTAAAATACTGTTCTTAAATAAGTTGCATGGAGAATCAGTGTTCTCTGTACAGCTTACAAGTGCTGAAAAATATTCATCACTTCACAGGTTGTAGGATGAAAATTTACAGAAAATGGGAGCTTTTATGTGAAAGTGCAATGTATGTCCCACTTTCCTTTTCTTCAGCATATATTGAAATAAATATGTCTTTTCTAGGATTTTAACAAATATCACTCCAAATACTAAATTTACTGTCATGTACAATGCATACATTGTATTAAGACTTACAATCAACATATTAAATTTAAGAAAATAAAAGCATTGTGAAAACATACTTCATTTTAATATTCTTTTTCTTTCCTTTTTGGAGAATCAAAATAGTCATAGGCTCCAGCTAAGAATTTGTGTGAAATCAGATATGCTACTGGCAATCCTATTTTGCATGTATATTTATTCTTTTTGCCTATATAAAATAGATAAAGGTCTGATTTTAGCATCAAATATACATGAATTGTCTTGACTCCATGACTTGACTGCTTGAAGGAGTCCCTGCAGTATTTTTGGCAAGATGTCAGAATTAGTTTGTCTAGGATTGGCAGAGAGCAGTTAGCCCAAGCTGGCTTTGTGCCTAAGGCAGGACACAATCTCTAGCCTTAACCTCCCTTTCTCTTTTCCTTTCTCCATCCGTCCGTCCATCCCTCCCTCCCTCCCACCAGAGTCTTGTAATTGAGGTGGCATTGTAGTTGTATAAAATAAATGATTGGATGCGATAAGATGATAGGTAGGTCAGTTCAACTGTCTTTTCAACATTCAAAAAACCAAGCATGTTATTTATACAGGATGTCTTAACAAAATATGTCTGGTGGTAGTATGTCTATTTTGGCCCTAAATATCGACCCTAATTTGTGGTTTCCTCTTTCCTACATGTTTTTCATCTGATAAAAATCTACATATACAGAAGTAGTTTTTGAAAGAAAGTGTTTCTTGGAACAGAGGTGGTTGGGGTTTTACACTTAATCTAGGCCAACCAGGGCTATCTCAAGAATAGCCTGGACAGGGTGTCTTCTTCAAGTTACTTCATCCATCTGTCACTCCTAGTAAGTCTGTTAGATGATGGCAAAACCAGGGATCTGATGGAGTGAACAATATGCAAAATCCATGTGGCAGGATAATAGTTCTATTATTAAAATCCATAATAGACCAGTTGTGAGTTCTAGCCAATATGTTGAACACTTGCTGCATTCTAGTATTGAACTATAATGTGATTCTTAACTACAATTCCTACACATAGTAGGAAGAATACATATGTGCAAGTACTCATGTTCCCATATAATCAGAAGATAGTTAGAGTCTGATTTTTGCTTGGGTTGTGAAGCCAAAATATAACATTGGGATTAAATAAATTAATTTAAGAACTAATTTCATTATAGAAGAAATTGATTGATAGTTGTATATGTACCACATCCTTAGCCATATTGTTTATACTTCAATTGCCATGTAAGCCTAGAAATGTTAATAAATAGATCATGATTAACCACAAATAAAAGTGTCATGTGAACTGAACCTCAATGTTTTGGGATTATCAGTCATAAAAACCAACTGTGAAGGACACCGAGTTCTGATGTTTTGGGCTAAATATCTTTTGTGCCACTACCCTCTGTCTAAATATTATCCAATCTGTATTGATTTATAATAGGTACTAAAGAGTTAGTGGAAAAACAGGATTGTATAATTTAAATTAAAAATTAAATTAAATTAAAATATTCCCTTTCTGAACTCTTTGGCTTCATTAAATTTTGGAGTCCCATATAAAAGCTTTTTTATATTAAAAATTTAAAAATATTTGATTAATCAGGCTTCTGCATTAGTATTGTTTAGTTTTATATTCTATTACTTGGACAGTAATCGGTTCCAGATTCTTTGGGTAATTTTAACATTCCTTATAAGATTTATTAACCTCCCACTCAGTAACAGTTTCTAAATGGGGGATGTGATGGCTTGACTATCATGCCCTTGCCTTTCAATACCAACTTGAAAGAATTGAAGTCCAAAAATTCAAATGAACTTGTTTTTTTTTATTGGATCATATGGATTCTAAAAGGGTGTTCCATTATTTGGTATCCTGTTCCAAATACTGCAGCTGGTGATAATACAGTACCCATAAGAAGGACCTTATCTATCCAAATCTGAGCCATTTAGTTCAATTAAATTGCCATTTATGACTTTATAGTAAAATTTCTCAACATTAACTTTAAGATGAGTGGACTTCAGCTTCCATAATTCCCCAGCCAGCATGCTTTAGAGCAGGGGTGTCAATCTCGTGGTCATACGAGATTGTCACATGACAATACATCATCATGTGACGTATCACAACTTTTTCCCTTTTGCTAAAATGGCCATGACACATCTGGTCCGCCGGCCATGAATTTGACACCCCTACTTTAGAGTGATCTCTTTAAGACAGGGGTCTGCAACCTGTGGCTCTGGAGCCACGTGTGACTCTTTCGGCCCTCTGTTGCGGCTCCCTGTCAGCTGATCCCACTACTGGCTGGTCCTGCCCCCCCCATCACTCCTCGCCTGGCCTGAGAAGGTAAGGGTGATGGCAAGGGATGGAGACTTGCTCCATATTCTAGAGCAGGAGGAGACTGGGTGGGAGTGAGTGACGTCAAGTTGGCCACACCCACCCAGTCACACCAGTTGTTAAATTATTGGCTCCCAGGGTTTTCTTTTCTGTGGGAAACGGGTCCAAATGGCTCTGAGTGTTTAAGGTTGCAGACCCCTGCTTTAACAGATCTCTTTAAGAAGGAATTGGACAGCCATTTGTTTGAAATGGTATTGGGCTGCCTGTTTGAGCGGGAGCTTGGACTTCCAACTCTTGTTATTCTGATCATATTTAGGACCAGCTTTTTCAACTGTTGCAGCTTTTCTGGTAATTTGTGGTTTCCACACTAGTTTAAAGGAGTCAGTGTGAAAACACCAGGTAAGTAAATTGTGTGCAACTAAAAGCATAGTGGTATACCACACCCAGATATAGGCCTCTTTATTACGGGAACCAAAAAACATCACCACATATTCGTCAATAAATGGAAAGTGAAAGATCCTCCATTATTCTTCCCTTTTCTCTTAGTTTATTTGCTAAATCCTGCATAACAATAAAAGACAATTGGATTTTTGTCATATCTGGGGAGTATATCTTTTCTCATTCTCTCATCAGTCCTAGTATCTTCTCCTATTGGTTTCTTATCATTTATCAATTGTTGTTTGTTATGATCTATGACCTATTATTTGCTGTTTATATGTACACTGTGAGTTTATGCACCAGAGACAAATTCCTTGTTGTTCAATCACACTTGGCCAATAAAGAATTCTATGATTCTATAAGAAGTGCAAAATAACTAAATTTTGCTACGTTGCCCACTTGTACTCTACTCCCACCTAGTCCTGCCCTATGCTTCCCACTTTAGCCATGCAGATCAGAAGATCTTCAAATAGGTAGGTGCCTTCCCCAAAGTCATCATCACATCCAGAAAGGGGAAATTTCTCTAGAACTGCTCTAGAATTTTCAGGCAGAAATCTAGCCTATATGTCACTCTTTTATTATTCCCAAATTAGTGCATAGATGTCTTCATAGCAAAAGCAAACCAAGAACATGCTATCCTTTATTATTCTGTCTTGCAAACAGAAATTAGTAGATACTAATCAAGGTACTGAGAGTTTGTACAAAATAAGAATTGGATGCTTTTGGTTATTTGTTCTATGCATAGCACAGACCTTTTGTTTTGTTGAGACATTACAGAATGTTCTGCTCAAATATTATGTCCCACCAAAAACTTGATGGTGAACAGAGGCCTTACAAGTCCATCTATCCAGTTTCTCATTTCTATGCACCATCTGTCTGAAAGGGGAATTTTTAAAGGGTCTACCTGAATGTTCAACCAGTGCAATACCTGAGCTGAAAAAAGAATTTTAAAAAGGTGACAATACAAAATAAACTGTTGTTAAGTTGAGGACCACCTGTATTGATGTTTACAAAAACTCATGAGTATACTGTTATATCATGGTTTAGGACAGCCTTTGCCAATCTAGTATCCTTCAAACATGTTGCATTATGGTTCCAAAGGTGCTCTTTGAGGAGGCAACTGGATTTTCTTGTTTTTTTCTTTGAAGACGTTTCATTTCTCATCCAAGTAGCTTCTTCAGCTCTGACAGGATAGTGGGGAATGGAAGGATTTTCATTATATGTTATGTTGTATTATACCTATATGACAGATCCTATCAAATCCATGTAGTGATGGATGTATTGCCTCAAGCAATAAA